GATTAACTGATCAGTTGTGCACCTTTTCCTAGTGTGCTCTTCCCGTCTCCCAGAAATAGTGGATTTAGGAGAAAAGGAGCACGACCTTTCTGGAGACACCCCTGTGCCCTGGGCATAAGACCTCCATGCCTCCTTTAACTCTCAAAGAGACGGAGGTGCCAATGTCCTCTTTCTAAAGATGTGGGATCCACGAGTCAGAGGTCATTTGTGGAAGATCACCTCTAGGCTTTGGATATGAGGAGTTCCCCAGAAGCCCTGGGTTAGTGAGAGGTGGAATGATTAGATGTGAGAGTCATAACCTGATCAGCCGTGCTAATTTGAAAGGACTACTGCAGGTAGTACTTCTGGGCAAGTGGGGTATCACTGGAGGAGGTGGGTCCCTGGGAGCATGCTCCTGGAGACTGTATCTCGTCACCCTGGCTCCTCCCTCAATCTCTCTCCGCTTCCTGCTCTCCGTGAACAGAGAAGCGCTTCTTCACCAAGCCCTTCCACCATGACTCCTGCCTCCACCTGGGCCCAGAACAATGGAGTTGGGTGTCCCGTGGGGGCCCAGGTTCTTGACGTTCCCAACAAAGAATTGAGCAAGACGCAGATGTGACAGGCAAAGCATAGCTTTATTGAAGGAGGAAATGAGGCTCCATAAAGTGGAGGGAGTTGAGTGAAGAGAGAGGCTCCAGGCCCCATGCTGGGGTTCTGTCCTACAGGCTGATCTGGGGGAGCTCCCCCCACAGAGGACCTAATTGAAGACCTTGCCCTAACTGCTCCCACTGGTTACTTTTCAAAAAGTTGTAAGGGTTCTTTTGAGTTATACGTGACAGTGGAATCCATTTTGACATGATTATACAAGCGCGGACTACACCTTATTCTAATTAGAACCCTGTTCTGTGGACGCACACCTGTTGGTTACTTCACGACACCTGATGAGAATAGTGCTCCTGTGGCAGGAGTTGTCACGTGACCAGCCTTATCACAAACAGGGACAGGACAACTCCTCCGTCTTGTGCTCCAGCCGGCATTTTTCTTACACCCTTCATCCGCCATCTTGATGTCCCTAAACTCCTACCTTGTGCCTAAACCTCTGAAACAGCCCAAACAAACTTTTCCTCCTCTGGGTTGCTCTTGTCAGGTCTTTTGGGCCCAGAGATGCAAAGCTGACCACCAGGATTGCACAGCAAGCAGGTAGTAGACGTGGGATTTGAATGGAGGCAATTGGATACAACATGTCAACCCTAGAGCCACAACCTGATAACAGAGGGGCCTTCTAGTCTCCCCCCACCCACTGCTGTCACTGCTGTGGACCCAGGCCTCAGACCCATGAATGGGAAACTCAGCCACTTCACCAGTCAGAAAGCACTGTGCACCTCGAGCCCTGGGCATGAGGCCTCCATGCCTCCTTTAACTCTCAAAGAGACACCGGGACGTGACTCACGCAGGCCTGGGGAGCGGGAGGTCACAGCCTGCAGCTCTTTCCTCATCTTTCTTTCTCTTCTTTCCCTAGCTCTGCTCTTGCTCCAGACTCCTGCTTTAAGAACTGGGGGAAAGGGGAAGAAGCCACGCTCTACGGCCCCTCCCACCCGCCCTGGAGAGGGACCATGCATGGAATAACAGCGCATCTGGGATCCAGTAAGACTTCCTTCTGTGGGATCCCAAGCAGCCATAAGCAAAGTTATGGGAGGCCGTTATTTTAGACTGAGGTCTTTGCTTCAGCAGGCCCCCAAGAAACCAAACCAAAATGGAGTCACTTGTGCTAAAGCTCCTGGTCAGCACACCAAAATTTAGTCACATATCCGACTTTCCAAGAAACAAGGAGAGAGAGAGATGGCAGGCGAATCCGCCCGCCCACTTTTAGTTGGTGTGATAAGGGAGGTTCCTTGAGCCCCTAGACAGCAAGACACAGAGGCCGCTGCTCTTAACCAAGTCCTTCTCAGTCCCACACTATCTTCTTGCTCCTGCTGAATCTGCCTTACAAAACCACCTGCTCAGCCAGCTCAACAGAAGGCCCCTTCCGCTTCAGAGACAGGGTGCTGCCAGTTCCATGAACCACTAATGAAATCCAATTGGATCTTTAAACCAAATTCATTAAATTTTTTTTCTTTCTTTCTTTCTTTCTTTCTTTCTTTCTTTCTTTCTTTCTTTTTTTCACAGTGAAAATCTCCATCTTTAAAGAAAAAAACATCAAATGGACTATTTTGTTCCAACTGCCAAATCTGACCTTATCTAAAGCACTCCAGCAAATGCACACATCAGAGATCCCTTCCTGGAGACTGGTGGGTCTAACTGGAGGCGGAATATTTGAGACACCTATATTGAAAAAATTTATTTGCTGGGTTCTGAGACTCACATGTGACAGGAAGCTGTATATTTTACCTGACAACCCTAAGAAGGAGGAACACAAAAGGTAGTTTAATTTCACGGAGCTAATTTTCATGAAGGGCGCACTAGAGGCTCAGAAAGATGGTAATTCAAAAGCACAACTGTTGGGGGAAATGGTTTCTTAAATCTTTGAATTCATTTCCTGTGAATTAACCACTCTAAAGGTGTTGGAAATGCCTGGTGAAAAGTGTTGCGCTAATGGGAAACATTGTGATCACAATATCCCAGGATGGTTCTTAAGTTAACCTGGGGAAACCGCAGCTTCCAGATGCTGTTAGCTTCAGTCCCAAGGAGAAGAGAACTTCACTCCCCCCGGAGATGCCCTGGGAGGGCAGAAGGGGACCGGGGCGTGGGGAGCAGGGGAGAAAAGGAAAACAGGGCATCCTGGAGCCTGCAGGCCCCTCCAGCTCTGGCTTGCCAGAGGCTGCTTTCTTGACTCCCCGCCTACAAGAAGAACCTGAGGATCCACAGGACCCAGACTTCCCATCATGGAAAAAAAAAAAAAAACTGCCAACAACCCAGCCTGAGAATCTGAATCTGGATGTTATATAAATGTTTAATGTGACTACATTAACTACACAGAAGAACTCTCCTGCTTTGCAGACAAAATAAAGTCAAATGCTGGCAGCCATCAGCGAATCCTTCAATGGCCCCATGCACGTGAACGTGGGAACACTGGCTGCAGCTTCCTAAAGCCATTACTGGTGTCCTCCTGTGAACACTTGGAGAGCTTCATGCTTATGTCCTCTTCTGTTTCCAAAGCTAATGGGTTTTCCCTTGGGCTTTATAAAAGCAATGTATGTTCATGTTCAACAAACAAACAAACAAAACCCAATTCACCAAGGCTAGCAACTGGTATCCATGATCTCACCACCCAAAGCCCTGCCTTGCACTCTGCTGCGCTTCGTCCCCATCTCTTCTGTGTTTTGTGCCGAGTCCCATGGTGCATGCCTGCAGTCTCAGCGACTCAGGAGTCTGAGGCTACAAGATCACAAGTTGGAGGCCAGCCTAGGCAATGTTTCTAAGACCTTATCCCAAAATAAAATTTAAAAAGACTGTGTGTGTAGCTCAGTGGTGGAGCACGTCCCTGGATTTCCTCCTCAGTACCTCAAAAAGCGGGGGGAGGGGGGGGGTCTATTTTTTATAGAGTGTGTATTGCTGTGTTTTGCTTCTCCCTCCTTCTAAACATGTTCATGGTAGCGTTCTTCATCATTGCAAAAATAAAAAAAGATTAAAGCTACCTCACTACTCAGCACGGAGGACTGGCTAAGTAGGCTACAGACCATGTGCGTGATCCTCTCAGTAAGTGCAAAACGCAGTCATCAAAGCAGACCTTCGGAAGACACCTGCTGGTATCAGTCAAAAAACTGATGTCAAGGTTTATGATCACTCCGGTTTAACCTGCTACGGAGAGGGTCTAGAGCAGAACTCAAGAATAATTATGATAGCCAAAGGGTAGAGTGGTGTGTGCCTTTTCTATTTTCTTAAATTCTGGGTTATCTAAATTACCCTTCATGTGTTAAGTAACCCTGTTGGTCTGTTTGTTCCTTTTCTCCCATTACCTTTTGGGGGTCAGATAAAGAGTGAGAGTTTCAGGTCCCTCCAAAGCACCCCAGACTTCTTGTGCTTGTACATGTCAAATGTCCCACAAACCTGACTCAGGAGCGAGAAGTGCACTCTGTCCATCACAAAGCCACGTCTGTACCGGAGCAAACCACTGAGGCTGGTTATCATTACCTAGAAAATCGGTTTGCATAGGCCTCTCTGTTGCAGCTCCTAGAAATGGGCTTTTACTAATAGGCCATGGAGAAAGGATAAGCACTGCAGGGTGGAACCGGAATGAGCTGGCCTCTGCCTGCACCTGGGGGTGGAGGGCAGAGCCTCCCCACGCATGCCCCTTCAAGAAGTGGCTCTAAGGCTGGCCTGCCCCGGCAGAGCCCCTTTCCTCTCACCTTGGCCACTTGGCTGGGCAGCATGTTGGTACCTTGCAGCAGGTGATGGCAGGTGGGAGCAGTCTGCAGGGGCCAGGATCTGCAGGAGATACCAATCTGGCTGCACATCCCAGGAAATGAAAGTCCTCCACTTAATGTATCCAAAAAAGCTGCTGAGTTTGAACTGAACCTGAGTCAGTGTCCCCCGGCCAGCGTCTCATGCTGCTCTTTGAGGCACAG